CCTTCCGTGTGCCACGCCCCCTCGTTAAATCCCCGTGTGATCAGCTGTTTCTGGTTGTTGTCATTAGTCCTCTGTATTTCATCCGCGTTTCAGTTTGTTACCCCAGTCCGGTCATTGTATTGTCCGTCTGCGTTTTGCCTGCCTTACCTGTAATTAAACCCCGTATTCCCCGATACCCTGACGTCTGCGCCTTTGTCTCCGTTCCGTCCCACTCGGCACAACAATATTATTATAATTAAATGTAGTAATGGTTTATTATTAATATTAAAATAATGAATAAGAAATCTTAGTTTTTAAATGCATTTCATAATATAATTACTGTTACTGTCTACCATTGTCTATATGTATTTTTACTGTCAAAATATATGTATTCAGCTAGTGTAAACATGCACGATGCTCTCATAGTGAATGCGAGGCTGAGACTGAAGCATTACCCTTTGTTTCCACTGAGAGACGTGCCGCGTGATTCAATTCCCCGCGCTTACAAGTTATCTTGGGTCGGCATTCACGGTTTGACTTCTGAGATTCAGATCGAGCTCTAGGTAATTTTTTTTCGAACTGGTTGGTTCAACTTTTAAGAAATTCAAGTTCTAATGAGTTAGAGAACTGAGGTACCACTGTATTATATATCAAAATCTGGTCCCCACAAGACCCAAGGTCCAGGCCCAGGGGCTTCCCACTCAAAGAGTCACCCCCCCCCAAATGTTTCAAAAACTTGCTAGTGAATAGTGAAAAGCTTGCACCTAGGTTGTTGGTTAGCAGAACATGCTGCTTCTGCATCTCCTTAATAAGGAATGTGTTCACTTAATATTTAGTGTAGTAACTGTCAGTGGCCACATGGGCCTATGAGCCCCACAAGAATGCATGGTTTAAGTGGTGGTAAATACAGGCACTGCGTGGGCGAGGAAGGCATTCAGGAAGTCGCTGCCCGTTCCCAAAGAGAATGGCCTGGAGGACTCACCCAGTGGGATGAAGTCGGAGCTGGACTTGAAAAGGGCCGATGGGAGCAGCTGGAACTGCAGAGGGAAGTGCAGGCAAGGTCAGGACCGGGAGAATACACTTTTAACAGCAGCAGGGTCAGGACCGCGAGAAAAGGCCTCTAACAGCAGCAGGGTCAGGACCACAAGAAAACACCTCTAACAGCAGCAGGGTCAGGACCGCAAGAAAACACCTCTAACAGCAGCAGGGTCAGGACCACAAGGAAACACCTCTAAGAGCAGCAGGGTCAGGACGGGGAGAAAAGGCCACAAACAATAGCAGGGTAAGGACTGAGAGAGAACACCTCAGACAACAGCAGCGACCAGATTGGGAGAAAACGCCTCTAACACCAGTAGCCGCAGTCTGGAGATGAGCCAAGTCGCTGTTCTCGCACACAGAGACAGAAAGCAGACCCAAAGCAGATGGCCGGGGTGGCCTCCACCCACCCGCTCGACATGCCAGGCTAACCTCTTTAGTCTCGTCAGGGTCCGAATGATCCACGGTCAAAGACAGGTCATTCTGCAGGTACTTCAGGGCACTCAGGGGCTCAGTCTGGGCCTTCTCCTCAAACCTGAATGTGAGCACAAAAGCAGACTCAAACCACACAGGAAAGTATCATTTGTTTCTTAATTAAACAGAAGAGATGATTAAATTGTAATTGAAGGGCATGGCCACCAGATGTCACCAACAATCAAACCGGCACCACAAAAAAAGCAGCATATGGGGATCTCGCTGTTAATACCTGTACTTCCTGATGAGGTATCGGCAGTGACGCAGCAGATACTCCTTGGAGGGGCGACACAGT